ACGCACCTAGACAATTATATTGTCTATGAAACTGGCATTTGAGGCTATTGGAGGTTTTGGGAAATCACTTGGGCCTACTTCAAGCTCCCTATAGTGTAACTTCTTCTTTTCCTTTTATCTATTTATGTAATTCATTCATATGAGCTGTAATAATTTGTAACAAATATTGGGGTAACTAGTGAAAAAGGTGGGTAGTTACATATTTGTGGGGTAATACGAGTAGAAACCATGCCTATAGGACTTTATATTTTGATGTGTTTGCCTTGCCATGTTAGAAGTCATGCCTATGGATCTCAAGTGGTTCCAATAATAGAAATCATGTTTATAGGTCTTAAAACCAACTTCACAAATAGAAACCATACCTATAGGACTTTATATTTTGCTATGTTAGAAATCATGCCTATAGGTCTCAAGTGGTTCCAATAATAGAAATCATGTTTATAGGTCTTAAAACCAACTTCACAAATAGAAACCATACCTATAGGACTTTATATTTTGCTATGTTAGAAATCATGCCTATAGGTCTCAAGTGGTTCCAATAATAGAAATCATGTTTATAGGTCTTAAAATCAACCTTACAAGTAGATACCATGCCTATAGAATATGATCCAGTTCAACTTTTGTTATAACAGATATTTATATGTGCTTTCATTTGTTATCATGCCTACCAGTTTCTAACATCAGTTTTTTTTTAAAACAATTAGATATCATGCCTATAAGAAATAACACCAGAAATTCTGCCTATAGATTTAAACCAGTTTAGTTTAAATAAATCAATCCAGTCTACGATTAGTTCACTTCGAAACTAGTTTAATTAGTGGTTTATTTTCCCTAAAATGAATTCTTTCAAAAAACTGCCTTAATATATCATTAGACAACATGCCTATTGGTATTCAAGAGTCTGTTTTAAAATCTACCCTGTTTACTATATAAAACGTAGTTATCATTATTTCGCATGTAGGCTAGCCTATAAGGTGTTTTCAAATCCTGTAACTCTAAAACTGTTTCTATTACTTAATGTCGTTCTGATTTTAACATGCTTAAAAAATCAGTAGGCAAACTGATAGGGCCATTACTTCTGAGTTTATAAAATAAATAAACTGCCTATCTTCTGTGTCTTGATATTCATTGAGACATCATGCCTTAGGATACTATTTAACAAAGGCCCTTATCTGTGTTTGAGTCGTGCTGCTTATGTGCATTGTTTGTGGAGGTAAACTTGAGCTCTAATTGCTTCTTTCTTGTCTTATGTGCTAAGGTCCTATTTGTTGTTGCCTGTCGCCTTAGTATTTTCTCCTTTAAACCTTAGGGGTATGTCTAGAACTACCTATAGGTAGAGGTACTAAATTTCCTCTAGGACCATTAAGAAGGGACGGGTAACAACACGCAATAGAGATCGCTGACCAACACTCGCTTTAATGACCACTAAGGGGATGGGAAGGGTAGATATGGGATATGATGACTACGCGCTAATGTCATGTGTAGCCCCTCATTGAGGAGTGTTTACCGGACATTGTGTGGGGTGATCCTATAGGCTGACCAACCTAAGACTCCTCCTTTCCCAAAATTCCTTTTGTTTAAAACTTTGTTTTATTTGTATACAACTTGTTCAAAATCTTTGCCTTGTTATTTGAGTTATATAACGTCCAACGTGCTTTACTTGCAAAAATATTTGATTCAACTATTTATTTGTTAATGGACTAATTCGTAAGTGTAAGTTCGGCCGGGACCCATAGTTGTGGACCGAGAGGGGTGCCTAACACCTTCCCCTCAAGGTCATTTTGAGCCCTTACCCTAATCTATGGTAACACAAACCAATCCAAGAGTTAATCACTCTAGGTGCCCTGACGCACCATAACCCGTTATGTGGAGACTCTTCAAATACCCAATTCCCAAAAGGAAACGAGTTATTACCCCCATGAATGTCGAAACCCAGACTTTCTCTGCGAAGGGGAAAAAGGGGGCACGACAGAGGGTACTCGGTTCATTGGGTTGTGGACTTTAAAGGTTTACCTCGGTTATGATGGTTGTTCTTGTGAGTCATGGGAAGAAGGGGTTATTATGGACCCTTGAAAGGTTATTAGCCTAGTACGGTGTGATCAGAATCGGCTTGAGATATGTGAATGGATTTAAATATGAAAATGGGCTCTATATCATACCAGATGTGTTCATTTCAGCATAGCGCTCCCAATGGAGGAGTATTCGAACGTTGGATGTTATTTCATCGTTGGCTATTTCATGTAATATTATATTGTGCTGTGTGAGTTGTGAAACAACTTGATAAAATTCTTATGTTTTGAGGTTCTGCGTAGCGATAGTGTTATGTGAGCAGGATGGCTCTTGAGATTCAGATCATATATCGCACCTCAGTTGTGCTTGAGTTTTGTAGTTTATGTCGCTATCTGTCTCCCTAGGGATGGTATTATGCACTTAGCGTGCTTGTGACTGATATTTGGTATTTTGTAGTAATGAGCAATTTAACTTGGTGTATATCTCCATATGTGAATTTTATGTGTGGATCGGGTGGCACGCCACCACGGGTATGTTATTTGGATTGGGTTGCACGCTGCAATAGTGTGATGTTGAGTATATTTTTCTATATTCTATTTTTGTGTGTTTTGTTTACCATTTTCTGAGGGAAGTTCATATTAGTTGTGTAAGTTCAGTAGTCCCTTCCAAAGTTCATTTTCTTTATGTATCACGTTCAAGTTTGTAGCCTATTGGCACATTGTGGCATCATATGAGACTATTGGTCATGTCCGGGGTGGCTTATTGCCTGAGGAGTTCGTATTGGGTAAGATAAGATTATTGGATCTAGGATCGCTGCAATCGGATTATATGAAGTGTATTAATGAGCAAATACCATTATTTGATTTAGAATGGGGTTATGGTTCTTGTTAGGAGTATAGACTCAATGATTTGTTGACTCGACAGTTGGTTATGAAATTCTACACATCTCTTCCATCGTGGCGGTCATGCAAAAGTTGGAGCAAGATGTATATAGGTCATGAGATGCATTGGGAGCATCAGATTCGTGGAATTTTGGCTACTATGATCAGAGAATGTTATTATGGTCCTGTGAATAAAGTGGTGCAAGGTGTGAATTCAACAAAGGTATGCAGTCATGTTCTGGTACATCGTGTGGTGATTGATACAGTGTTCGTATGATGGAAGTAGGCTTGGAAAAGGATTTCGGATGTTGGAACTGGGCTCTAAGGCTTATTTGCCTAAATGGAAGAGGATATCTTCAGATTTGATCGAAGTTGATTTAGAAAGAAATTCTCATTTCGGAAGCTTTAAGTTGAAAGAATTGACTGAGATCGGATTTTTGAGTAACGACCTCAGAATCGGGATTTGAAGATTTCAACAAGCCCATTGATGATTTTTGGACTTGGATGTATGTTCGGATCGGGTTTTGGATAACCTGAGAGAGTTTCAGCGCCTATTGTGGAAGTTAGCCGTTTTGGAAGAATTTCATAAGTTTGGGTTGACGTGCATTTCAGTGTTATCGATGTCCGTTTGGGATTTCGAGTCTGGGAATAGCTCCGTATGTTGATTCTGGTATTAAGAGCGCGATCGAAAGTAAATTCGAAGGTTCGTAGGTCATTTTGGAGTCATTTGGCTAAAGTTAGAAATTTGAAAATTTTGAGAAGTTTGACCGGAAGTGAACTTTTTGATATCAGGGCCGGATTTCGATTCCAGAAGTTAGAGTAGGTCCGTAATGTAAAATACAACTTGGATGCAAAATTTGAGGTCAATCGGACGTGATTTGATAGGTTTCGGCATCAAATGAAGATGTTTGAAGTTCTAAAGTCCATTAAGCTTGAATTGAGTTGTGATTCATGATTTCGATGTTGTTTGATAGGATATGAAGTCTTGACTAAGTCCGTAATGTGTTTTGGAACGTGTTGGTATGACTGGACGGGGCCTCGGGTGGATTCCGGGTGGTTAAATGATTGAAAATGGAATTTGAGGAAAGGTTGAAACGTTTAGGCTTCTGGTGTAACCGCACATGCATGAAGAGGGCTGCAGGTGCGAGCTGCAGGAGCGGGAAAGGACTCGTAGAAGTAGAATTTTGATGGGGAGGTGTGGACTGCAGATGCGGTCGAGATCCGCAGAAGCGGGACCGCACCTGCGTGCGTGGAGCCATAGAAGCAGAGTGAGGGTCCTGGTGAAAGACCGCAGAAGCGGTAGTGGTGCCGCACCTGCGGAACCATAGAAGCGGTTAAGTGACTGCAGGTGCAAAAAATCGGGCTGGACAGTGTGTTCTTTTAAAAACGAGGGTTTGACTCATTTTCACCTTATTTCCTCCATGAGAGTCGGTCTTTGAGCGAGTTTGGAGCTCATTCTTCGTCATTAATGGCAAAGTAAGCTATCCCCACTTATTATGAGTTAAATACATTGACTATGTATAGATTTTAACATGGAAAGTAGTGGGAATTTGGGATTTTGAAGAAAAACCTAGAATCATTATTTACTTAGTGAAGTTCATTATTTATTGTTTAATGTAATGAAAAAAATAATAATTTAAAAAATACTAAAATAAGAATTTAATTAACTTCTTGGTGTTGGCTTGCCTGATAGTGGTATCCGGCGCCATCACGACCCTTAGTGGATTTTGGATCATGACAATGCAGCTATTAAAGTAATTCTTCTTCCAAAATCGGATATATTATTTGGGAAAAATGGCATGGTATGACAAAACATAAGGAGAATTGGCAATTTTTTGGCCTTATATTAGGTTTGGCAATAGAAGCCCAAAAAAATTGGCGCCAAATACCCAAAGTTTTTTTTTTTAAAATAGTAATAAAATATTTAGAACCGATGTATACACATTATCTAATATGTTATACACAACGATTTTCAAATAATATAATTATTTTATAATTATATATTCCCCTTATTAATAAGCGACAGTTTGAGGAGCTTGGGGTCGTCCGAGGGTATTTTTGGAAAACTACAAATATTTTGGCATAAATCACATGTTAACCCTACTTTAGTTTTGACACGTTGCTTTACACTGCTCAAACGAACATATCTATTTCCACCTAATTTGCCCAGTCTTTACGCTTGGTTTCTTCCTCAAAATTTCCGCCGCCGCTCACCTCTTCTTACAATTTCCCTTGTTTCTTTTAGTCTTCTCTCTTCCCGGACAGTTAATTCGCCTTGATTATGCAGTATAAGGTGAGTTTTACTTTCTTGTTTTCTTGATTTTTGGAATAGCTGCTGCATATAAATTGTTTAAGCTGATTAAATTATTCGTGCATCATTCTTTCTCATCCGTCCAGAAAATCCTGGGATATTTGAAGTTGTTGATGATGTTGTTCTTGAATCATTTGGTGGGTTCAGTCATGTTGATGTATCTGTTTATGCTTTTAAAAGTGTTGGAATGATTTTACCTTTATGAAGCGATAACTGTAGATTCATAGTTGGATTTAATAGTTAGTGTCATAAAACTGATTATAAAGGCTAACAATTTGTTTCCTTTAAGAGCAATGTTGATATAAATACGATCGTGAACAATCCTATGATAAAAAAAACGATGTTAACAGAATTCTTCTCTATGAACCAAACCGATGAAGAAGCTATTGAGCTGAATTTACTATACAAGGAATTCTCTGAATACTTTGTGTGGTCCTCGAGTGACAAATTCTGGGCACTTCGAAAACAACGCTCTGCAATTGGTCGAATCGTAACGTGTCATCCAACAGAAGGTGAACGGTATTATCTCAGATTACTACTATTGCATGTGCGCGGACCGAAATCATATAACGATCTTTTGACAGTAAACGGAGAACTTTGTAGTATTTTTAGAGAGTCCGTGGAGAAAAGAGGATTGTTACATTATGATAATAGTTTGATAGAATGCATGTCTGAAGCAGCAAGTTATCAGATGTCATACAGCCTAAGGCGTTTATTTGCTACATTACTGGTCTATTGTAATCCTACCAATCCAAGACAATTATGGGAGCAATTTGAAGAGTCGATGACCGAAGACTATAAAGTACTACAAACTAATGAAAGAAAAGAAATACGATACCAAGCTTTGAATCATATCAACGATATTTTACATTCTATGGGCCACGATGTGAATGAGTATGAACTCATACCAGAAACTATTCGGCCTTTAACATCAGCAAAAAAGGCAAAAGAAGTTCATTTTAAAAAATCTATTACTGTAAGTGAAGAAGACATATTATTACATATGAGATTAAACAAGAAACAACTGATAGCATATAATATGATTACTGATAGAATATTTTCGAACAAAGCAGGTGCTTTCTTTGTCGATGGTCCAGGAGGAACCGGAAAAATATTTTTATACCGTGCTTTATTAGCAACTGTACGATCTATGGGATATATAGCTTTAGCAACAGCTACTTCAGGTGTTGCTGCATTTATTCTCCCCGGTGGACGTACTGCACACTCGCGCTTTAAAATTTCTATTGATATTGATGAACATTCCAGTTGTAACATTAGCAAACAAAGTGCACTAGCAGGTTTAATACGAGATGCAAAATTGATTGTATGGGATGCAGTATCTATGGCAAATAAAAGAATGGTAGAAGTTTTTGATTTGCTTCTAAAAGATCTCATGACTACAAATGTTTTATTTGGTGGGAAAGTCGTTGTCTTAGGAGGTGACTTTAGACAAACTCTTCCTGTTATGCGAAATGGAAAGAAAGAAGATTTCATCAATGAAAGTTTGTTATATTCTAGAATTTGGTATGAACTTGAAAAATTATAATTGTCTGAGAATATGAGAGCAAAAATAAATTCTCCATTTTATGATTATTTGATGAGAATTGGAAATGGACAAGAACAAACTAGCTCAACAAACAAGATTAAATTTCCTGATTCTTTGGTTATCCCTTTCACAACCGAAAGAGAATCTTTAGATAAGCTATTCAAAGTGACATATCCAAATTTGAATTCGTTGAACTCCAACACATTGTGTACAAATTCTCGTGTAATTTTGACTACAAAAAATGATTTTGTTATGAAATCAATGACATACTTATTGACCAATTTCCAGGGAAAGTAAGAACATTTGTCGGCATTGATGAGACCACTGAATTGAATAATCAAACACAATTTGAAGATTTATTACACAGCTTAAATCCTCCGAGTTTGCCTCCTTATAAATTATCTTTGAAAGAGAATTGCCCAATTATGTTATTGCGTAACTTAAATCCATATGAAGGTTTATGTAATGGCACACGACTAACCATCGACCACAATTGTTTTAGTATTTGGACCACTTGATTTACCTGAAGTACTTGATGTCGAACCTGGTTCAAGATAGTTGTTGATTAAATGTTTGCGCGTAGTAAACGAAGAAAAATAAATGATCATAGCAGATTTATAGGCTTACCCTTTTCAAAAGTAGAAATAGAATGAATCACATTTTCCTTTTGTCAAGAACATTTAGTGGCGTAAAAACCTCACGATCAGTTGCAACTACAGTAAAATATAATTTGTAAACATAGAGGTTTCAGGAGCGTAACCATTGTGCACACATAGTCATATAGAAGACACATATGTGAGGAAATAAGGAATAATGAATTTGATATTCTAACCTCTTTTGGAAATAGAACAAGAGCCTCAAACAATAACATTATCCTGAATTGCACACATTGATTCAGCAAAATTGATAGATTTTATACTTCCAAGAAGACGATTAGTTGTTGCCTCTTTCTTTTTGAGGCGGCGTTGCAGCAGAAGTGTGTTCTTTTTAGCCGTGGCCATGTCACACCAAAATTTGAAAGTTCAATAAACTTGGAATGTGTATAGTAACTCAAATTCATTTCTCTTTCGATCCAAAACAAAATATTTCTTTTTCGAACAAAATTTTTGTGCAAATTTGTGGAAAGTTTGCTTGATTTCGTCCATTAATACTAAGTGAGAATGAAAAAAACTTATGCCAACTTTAAAGACAGGCCTCCATTCCTTTGGGCATGTATTTATGCCAATTTGTCACGTACTTAGTATTTGACTAAGTACACGTGCGGCACTTGACAACTCGCTCACGATTTTGCACAACTTGCTCATGTTCTTGCTGTGCCAAGTCAGCCTTACTACACTAAAGATCGCTAAGGAAATGTTAGAACACAAGAGAAATGCCAAAGGAAGCTTTTGTATCAGAGAGAACTTGATTGTTTTGCTTGGTGAATTAAAAATGAATGGCTCCCCTTTATATACTAGTCTCCTAAGGGCTAGTGTGTAAATATTAATTGTTATACAAGTCCCTTATTATTTACAAGTAAGTCCCTTCTCTCGAATTTTTTACATAGACAGAATCTTCTAAGGACTTTTCTAACAAATCTATAGGGATAAGGAAATGTCCATACTTCTCTAAAATCTTCTCACAAATGCTAGCCTTCCTCCTATATAAGCTTTCACATGGAATTAATTTATGTCAAAAGGTGCCTATGTGGCATGATGACATGGCGGGTCATCACACTCTCTCCCACCTAATGTTGCGACGACCGCGGCGCAATGCTGCTGCATAAACTCTCGGATCTTATCTTTGAATTTCCATTAGTCTTCATATCGATACCACATGGCCTCCTCCGGTGATTGCCCCTTCCAATGGACGAGGAACATAGCGGTGGCTTTTTGCCCTTGTTTTTGCCTGGCCTGGTAATCCATGATAGCCTCAATCTCGCAATCATGCGAGGTGGTGATAGTAATAGGTGCTCGACTTGATTGGCCCTTACTTGGATCATCCTTGTCTTCATGATATGGCTTAAGCATGCTGGCATGGAAGACATAATAGATCTTAAGATATGATGGTATGTCAAGCTTGTATGAGATCTTTCCTACCTTGGCGACGATCTTAAATGGCCCATCATACTCACGAATCAGATTTTGATGCATGCCCTATAATGCCTTGAACTGTCTCAGGTTAAACTTTACCATGACCATGTCCCCAACTCTATAGTCCGTGGGATGCCGCTTACAGTCTACAAACTTTTTCATCTTCTTAGCTGCCTTATCCAAGTAGTACTTAGTAGTATCAAGATGCTCCTCCCATCCTTTGGCCATATGATAAGACCCTAAAGTCTTTCCCTCGAACGCAACTGGTAATGAATGTGGAATTTGTGGTTGTTGTCCTGTGGCTAGCTCAAATGGTGTCCACCCCGTGGACTCACTCCGCTGCAAGTTATAAGAGAATTGGGCAATGTCTAGTAGCCTTGCCCAATCTTTCTGATGCGCACATATATAATGCCGCTAGTAAGGCATTGACCCGTTTTATTTGTCCGTCCGTATATGGGTGGAAACTAGTGAAAAAGTGTAGTTCCGTGACAAGTATGTCGAATAACTCTCTCCAAAAGTTCCTAGTAAAATAGGGGTCTCAATCCTTAATGATATGCCTTGGTAAGCCCCAATACTTCACCACGTTCTTAAAGAATAGCTTGGCAGCTTCCTTGGCTGTGCAACCCAGTGAGGCGTACATAAAGGTGGTATATTTAGAAAATCTATCTACGACCACCATAATTGTACCATAATCATCGAAATTCGCTAGGCAAGTGATAAAGTCCATAGTTACGCTCTCCCATGGATGCTCTGCAACTGGTAGTGGCTCCAAAAATCCTCCGAGCTGTTGTTGCTCAGCCTTGTCCTGCTGATATACAAGACAAGTCTGCACATAACACTTTATGTCATCTTGTATGCATGGCCAATAGTAGACTGAGTCAACCAAGGCCATAGTGCGATGTTAGCCTGGATGACCAGCCCACATTGTGTCGTGACTCTCCCTTATGATCCACCGTCTAATGTCTCCAAACATAGGCACGTAGACCTGCCGACCCGTGGTAAGTAATAGGCCGTCTTCTACCCAAAAACGTCTTGTCTTCGCCCTGGTTGGCTAAATCTATAAGCTGTTTGTCTACTGGATCATGTTGCATGCCTTCTTTTATAGCCTTGCAAATGTCCAACTTGCTGAAGTGATGGCAGCAAGCTCGGCTTTTCAGCTCAAAGCATCGGCTACAACTTTACCTTTGCCCGGCTTATACTCCAGCACATAATCAAACTCGGCCAAGAAATCCTACCACCTAGCCTGTTTTAGTGTGAGATTCTTCTGCGTCTGAAAGTAACTAGATTGTTAGTCTTGACCATGAACCTAGATACGAGCAAATAATGTCTCCATGTACGAAGGCAATGCACAGTGGCAGTCATTTCCTTATCTTGCACTGTGTAACGTCACTCCATCTCATTTAACTTGCACTCTAAAATGCTATGGGATGCTTATCCTGCATCATGACACCCCCAATGGAAAAGTCTGAGGCATCTGTATGCACCTCAAATGTCTTGGCAAACTCAGGTAACGCCAAAACTAGCTCCTCTATTACATCTACCTTAAGGCCTTTAAATGCCTTTTGACAATGTTCCGTCTAAACCCATGGCTTTTCTTCTTTAGCAACTTAGTCAATGGTGCGGCCTTTGTTGAGTAGCCATTGATGAACCGACGATAGTAGTTCACAAGGCCAAAAAAGGATCTCAACTCAGTTACCTTTGTAGGTGCCTCCCACTCCTGGATAGCACGTACCTTAGCCTCGTCCATACGTAGCTCGCCATTGCTAATAACACAACCTAAGAAGTGCACCTTTGATTGTGCAAACTCGCATTTCTCCCTCTTGATGTATAGCTCGTTCTCCCGCAAGACTTGGAAAACCTTCCTTAAGTGCTCCATGTGCTCCTTTAAGGTATTGCTGTAGATGACTATGTCATCTAGGTACACTATCACGAACTAATCAAGGTAGGGATGAAAAATCTTGTTCATAAAGGTGCAAAATGTGGCTGGTGCATTGGTTAAGCCGAAAGGCATCACCAACCACTCAAAGGCTCCATATCTCGTCACACATGCTGTCTTTGGCTAATCCCTTTATGAAATTCGAACTTGGTAGTAACCCTTGTAAAACTCCAACTTGGTAAAGTACTTGGCTAGCCCAAGTCTATCGAACAAGTTAGTAATGAGTAGGATCGGTACTTATTCTTCATTATGACATTATTAAGTGCATGATAGTGTATGCATAAGAGTAGCGATCCATCCTTCTTCTTCTAGAGTAATACTGGTGCACCGAAAGGTGCCTTTGATGGGCAAATGTGACCAATATCCAACAACTCTTTCAATTGTTTCCTGAACTCCTCTAGCTTGGGCAGTGCTATACGATATGGGGCGAATGTGGGTGGCTTGGCCCCTGGATCCAACTTAATCTTATGATCAACCTCTCGCTTAGGCGGCAAGTGCTTAGGCAACTCCTCAGGCATGCCATCTTCGTTTTCCTTAAGCAACTCCTCAATGCAAAGTGGTAGTGTTTCTTGAAAACTTTTGTCTTCCTCTAGACTTGCAATGGTTGCCACAAACATCAACTCCTTTTTCTTGATCCCCTTGACAACTTGCAGAGCTGAGAGTTGTGCTTGGATTTGTCCATGTGGCATAGTCACTGTAGGTACCATGCAAGCTCCTTCTTGCTCCTTAACCAAGAGACGTTGGAGGTAGGGGTCGATCAAAGTATGAAAATGTCTAAAGAACTCTTGCCCCAGTATGATGTCAAAGATATCCATAGCAGTTACGGTAAAGTTTATCATACCTTTCCAAATTCCCAACTTGACACCAACTCCATTAGCTTCCCTATGAGCATTTTGTACCTCAACATTCACGGTCTTGATGTGAGAGTTAGTTGGAGCAAGCTTTAATTCTAGTCTCTTTGAGGCAGCCTCAGTCATGAAATTATGAGTTGC